CGGCGACCATTCTCATCAGGTCCGGGTGAAAGCCTACTACCGCGGGTGAGTGGCAGGGGTGAGGGCGCGAGGCGAGGGGAAAGGCCGGCTGGATCTGGCCTGGAGGGAGGGGAGGGTGAGGGGTTGAAAGTGTTGCGGGCGGCTGGGGCTGAAAGCACGCTCCGGGGACCCTGGGTGGGTGCGCGCAGAGTTGGAGGCACCCCCCAGGTGTGGTGGTGCCTGGGCAGGGTAGGATCTGAGGGAGGAGCTTTGGGAGAGAGTATGGGTGCTTTGGGTGGGTGCGGAGAGACACCCGCGGAGAGATCAGGGAGCACTTTGTCAAGTCTGGATGTGTTCTGGTGGAGAGTTGAGGATTCCAAGTGGTGTCTCTGTAAACTCAGTTGCTACCGGGTTAAAATCCCAGACTCCCACCAGGAAGCCTGGTTCTCTAAAGCCAGGTTTATCACCACGAAGTGTTATCTGAACTGTGGTCAGGCTGCCAATATCTCAGACACAGAAGTTATTATTGAAGTGTGAAGTTGATGCGTTTGCAGGAATGTGTGCAATAGGCGCATGGGTCTTGCCAAGATTCGTTTGCAGAGGTGTTGATTAGAATTTCGTGAACCCTTCCATTGTGAATTCAGGGACCATCCTATAGGGTGAGCTATTGCAAGGTGAGAGGACGACGAGCCTAGGCACAGTGTTAAAATTCTGTTGTCTTTACTCACACGATTACCCAAAGGATAACTAACACCCGTGGTTACCAGAAACACCCCACCGCTAAGACCGTTGTATTAAGTCATATTCGGCCATCACTGCTCCAAGGTGTGCCCCTCTCCCCCTTTGAATTCAGTTGTGAGTTTTGGAAGTTCTTTGCGATGACGTTACTTAGGAGCATGAAGCAGTTGAATTGTTAACGTGAGCATAAGGAATTGAGACGAAGGGTTAACAGAAAAACCAGCTGCTTGTCCAGGCAGAACTAAATTGCTTCGTAGACTCAAGCACTTAAAAAATGCACAAAACAAAAAAAACCCTCAAGTGCAACAAGGTTGAAACTGCCATGCATGGTTTTTTACATTCCTGAGAGGATCAGTGAAGATAGAAGAATCTCAAATTGCTTCTCGTGTTTTAATTTCAAAGACAAAAATAAGCCCCTGAGTGCTTTATTGATTTGCTGTGAGGACTTGTTTGTTTTGCTGCCATGAAGCCGCTGGCCTCTCTGTAGTAGCTTGACTCTGTTTTTGAAAAAAATGAGATTAAACACACACACATGCACATTGTACAGAAGTATATACTATTAAAACAGAAAAGCAACCCCCTCCCCACTTCCCCAGCCTCCAGAGGTAACTACTGTTGACAGTTTACAAGTTTTGTGTTTTGTGACTTGTCAACTTTAGAGAGAATTAGAAATTGCTTCCCCTGAAAGCCGAGAAAATGAGCACACTGGACTTTCTATTTCCTTTCCTCCCAGCGCCTCTCAATTGCTGGTTGTTAAATTAGCATGTTCTTCTGGTTACATTTATGACTGTAACTAATATAAATTCTTGCCTTACTATCCATAGGTAGTCTCGAGCGGCTTCAGCTATGAAAGATGAAAATGGTGCTTTTTCTACTGTATTAGTTGGACAAACATAAATAGGCCTAGTTAGTAAATCAGAGTGGTGGCGAGAAGTCAAAGTATGCTGCACTTGGGGAACAGGTATCTCATGTTGTCTAGCGTATGGCTCCGGTCTTTACGTTAGTGCTTTAACTTGTGAGGCAGGGAGGGAGTGATAGAGACCCAATGGGACACAGAACCGGATTCTACCTGATTGTAGGTAGCAGAGGGACCATGCTCTCTGGTAGTCAAGACAATGCCCTTGTCTTTGAAAAATGTCTGAGGTTTGCTAAGCAAAGACAAGAATTAACCCTTGGCACTTTTAGTGCTTTTTATTCAAGGATAGCTCTATACTAGCACTTTTATTTCAAGCAGGTTACATTTAAAGACGAAAAACACCCAGCATTCTCTAAATGTTATCAATCTCTGTCCTATGAAATTAGATCTGTTAAGATTATGTTTATTAACTATATAGTCTAAGCTGATGGTTGTGGTATTACATAGTCAGCTGCTCATTATTCCAGATGAAATGAAATGAGTCACCAACTAGGAGAGATAATAAACAGGTTGGCTAACTAGAACACCTTCTACATCAGTGGTTCTCAACCTGTGGGTCGCGACCCCTTTGGGGGTCGAATGACCCTTTCACAGAGGTTGCCCAATTCATAACAGTAGCAAAATTACAGTGATGAAGTAGCATCGAAAATAATTTTAGGGTTGGGGTGTCACCACAGCATGAGGAACTGGGGTTGAGAACCACTGTTTTACATGAATTAAAAATAGAAAATCCTGCCTTTATACCAAGAAATGTGAGGACAATCTGCATTTGGGAAAGTTTTCTTTTCCCTAAGATTTTTTGAATGGCCTTCCCCTTATACCCTCCAACAATAGTTCTTCCTAAACCAACCCAAACCAGACTCCCTGCCATGAAGTCAGTTCTGATTCAGAGTGACCTGAGAGGAAAGGTCAGAACTGCCCCGTGGGTTTCTGAGAGTGTAACTGTTTCCAGGAATAAAAAGCCGCCTCTTTCTCCCACGAGCAGTCGATGGCCTCCAACTGCTGGCCTTGGGTGAGCAGACCAACGTGCACCCACACCGCCACCAGAGCTCCTTACGTCTTTCCAGGCCTGGTTAGATATTGGATAGGCCAGAAAAACTAGTCAATATATTGCCCCCTCTTTTAAAAAAATGTTTCTACTGTTTACATATGATTTTCATGAACATATGCCATCTTCCCAGATGGAACAAAAGTTTCACCTGATTTTTTTTCTTTTTAGTTTTAAGCAGGAGATTCTTAATAGCCAAGAGAATGGGATGTTCTTGGAAGTCACCTGAGTGTCTTTCTCATAGTATGCATGGCTCTCTCCCTCCTGGGGGGCTTGTCCGGGAGTTGCCTTCTTCAGACCTTACCTGGTGCTGTTAGTTTGGAGGAAGAGGAAGAGGTTTGCTGCTGGGGAGTAGATTCACGTTGTACACACTTATCCTTAAGTGGACTTTAGCTTGATGCTTTGGGGTAGAGTTTGAAGAGAAATGTCTGGACTGCTAATCTCTTCACCTTCTAAAGATATGTGACATTTTGCAAAATGCTAGGGAAAACACATTCAAAGCCATTGCTTAGTACAGACCAGAGGAGACAACCTCCCATGACCATCCAGAAAAAAGGTATTGTTAATTCCTTGTGTGTTTGGAATGCGTAGCTGGTTCTGTGAAGATGTTTGCAAGATTTTTCTCACCATGAACAAGTCTTGACAGAACTTGTTTATAAAGTATTGCAAAATTATTGCAGTGATAGACGTTAGCGAGGGTGCTAGGGAAATAGAAATATCCTGAGTTGACAATTGGGGAAGATCGATTGATTGGCTGGCCCTGCAGCTCCTGGAATGGCACCTATCCCTGGGGCAACTCATCCACAACTTAGACCACAGTGACCTGCTGCAAAACAAACGAACAAAACACTGAGACCAAGCCTCACAGAAACGTGAATTAGGAAATTTGGAATGCATTGCATGTTAGCAGCGGAGACTGAATCTATGGAGTTGAGAGTGAAGAGGCCAAGACAAACCATGTGCGCCCCGAGTATCTGAGCAAGCAGCTCTGTGGAGGAATATTCTTCCTAGAGGTTTTTAGCTACTGGTGGCTTTGGGATACAACTCCCACCGCCCTTTTTAAGGTAGAACTTGCGTGTTGTTTTGTTTTTAATATGATTGAAATGAGCCTCATTAAACCATGAATGTTAATCCTTATTGCCCTAAGTGGTATTGAGGATTTTAGATATTCCCAAAGAGTCTTTAATCCTGGTTTGCCAGCTACTGTTGAACACTTACCATAAGACAGGTGCACAGTGCTGAGGACGAGGTGGGCACAGAGCATGGAGAAGTGAATATAAATAGAAGGCTCTGCTTCGAAGGAGCTAAGAGGCTTGTGAGGGAAAATATATGCCTATCTGGCTTATGGGGAGCTCTTAGAGCAGAGTGGAACTGCTCCGTAGGACTGCCAGTCACTCAGAACCATTGACTGGTTAGGTATTTCTGCGGAGAGCTTTAACCTGTTGCCATCAGGGCTTCTTGAGGGAAAAGATGTGGGCAGTTACAAAATAAAGACTTAAAATCGACGTATGTATGTGTCATGCATGTGCACAAAAGGTAGTTGCATGAAGGCTATAGGGGGCTGGTGGTTTAATGGTTAAGTGCTCAGCTGTGAACTAAACGGTCTACCTGTGATTTGAACCCACCAACGACTCCCCAAGAGGAAAGCTCTGGTAGTCGGCTCTGTAAGGCATACAGATGAGGAAACCTTGTGGGACAATTCTGTTCTGTCGGAGTTATGAACCCCAATGGGCTTGAGGGCACACAACCACCACAATAATAGGAATGGATATCGGGGAAGGAATCCATGAGATGAAGGAAGCCTTCCTAAAGATGGAATGTCTGAGGTATTAAAAGGATGAATAGGGAATTTGCCTGATAGATGATCTTGTTGGATGAAGGATAGTTCTAAGCATTGAGCAAATGTATATTGTATTTGGGGAACTAAGATGGGTTTAAGGAAGCAACCAAAGTCATTGCTGTGGAGTTGATTGCATCTCATGGTGACCCCATGTGTTACAGAGAAGGGCTTTTCCGTGCACTTTACTTAGATGTAATCAGCAGGGAAACAGATTGCCAGGTCTTGGTAGCAAGAAATGGGCTTTAACTGCCAGCCTTTAAGTTAACAGCTGATTTGCATCACTCAGCACCCTCTTGGTCCCACATTCCCTTATTAGTTCATGGTAAGAGCCCTGGTGGTTATGATTTGCCTGCGAACTGCAAGGTCGTTAGTTCAAGCCACCAGACACTGCACGGGATAAAGTTGGGGCTTACTGCTCCTGTGAAGAATTAAAGTCTTGGAAACTCAGGGACAGTTCTGCCCTATCCTACAGGGATGCTGTGAGTCGACATCAACTTGATGGTAATAAGGGAATATTCATCTCC